GGTTTGGGTACCAAGGTTATTGAAGCCTCATAAAAAGAGTTTAGCAATGACCTTTCTGCTTCTATTGTGTGGAATACTTTGAGGAGACTTGGTATTGGCTGTTCTTTGAATTTCTGATAGAATTCTGCCCTGAAATGATCTGGCGCTGGACTTCTTTTTGGTTGGGAGACTTTTGATGACTGTTCTATTTCATTGTAGGTTATAGGCCTATTTAAATTGCTTATCTGTTCTTGATTTAACTTTGTAAGTGATATCTATTTAGAAAATTTTCCATTTCATTTAGATTTTCGAATTTTGTAGAGTACAGGTTTTCAAAGTATGACCTGATGGTTCTGTGGATTTCCTCAATGTCTGTTGTTATGTCCCCCTATTTACTTCTGATATTAATTTGCATGTTCACTGTCTGCCTTTTGGTAAGTTTGAATAAAGGTTTTCTAACTTGTTGATTTTCTCGATGAACCAGCTCTTTGTTTCATTGATTCTTTGTAGTATTTTCCTAAGTTTCTACTTTATTGATTTCAGCCCTCAATTTGATTATTTCCTGGTGTCTATTCCTCCGGTGTGTGTGTTTGCTTCTTTTTGTTCTAGAGATTTCAGGTGTGTTGTTGATTCTTTAGTGTGACTATTCTCCAGTTTCTTCATGTGAGCATTTAGTACTCCGAAATTTCCTCTTAGCACTGCTTTCAAAGTGTCTGATATGGGTATGTTGTATCTTTATTCTCATTGAATTCTAGGAAGTATTTAATTTTTTTTATTTCTTCCTTGGCCCAAGATTGGTACAATTGCATATTGTTCAATTTCCATGAGTTTGTAGGGTTTCTGCAATTTGTGTTGTTGTTGAATTCTAACTTTAAAGCATGGTGGTCTGATAAGATACAGGGGGTTATTCCAATTTTTTTTTGTACCTGTTGAGGTTTGCTATGTTGCCAAGTATGTGGTTGATTTTAGAGAAGATTCCATGTGGTGCTGAGATGAAGGTGTATTCTTTTGTGTTTGGATGGAATGTTCTATAGATGTCTGTTAGACCCAATTGAGTCATAACTTCTACTAGTTCCTTTGTTTCTTTGTTAAGTTTCTGTTTGGTGGTCCTGTCTAGTGGTGAGAGTAGGGTGTTGAAGTCTCCCACTATAAGTGTGTGAGGTTTTATGTGTGGTTTGAATTTTATTGATGTTTCTTTTATGAATGTGGATGCCTTTGTATTTGGGGCATAGATGTTCAGAATTGAGACTTCATTTTGGTTAATTTCTCCTGTGATGAATATGACATGCCCTCCTTCATCTCTTTTGATTGATTTTAGTTTAAAGTCTAATGTGTTAGATCTTAGGATTGCTACACCCTCTTGTTTCTTGGGTCCATTTGATTGGAAAATCTTTTCCCAATCCTTAATTCTGAGGTATCATCTGTCTTTGAAGTTGAGGTGTGTTTCTTTTATGCAGCAGAAGAATGGATTCTGTCTTTGTATCCATCCTGTTATCCTGTGTCTTTTTATAGGTGAGTTAAGACCATTAATATTGATATTAATATTAATGACCAATGATTGTTCATTTTTCTTTGTTTTGGATTTGTTGTTGTTGTTGGTGGTGGTGGTATTGTGTGTGTATTTCCATCCTTTTTTTCTTTTGGATGTTAGTAAAGTGGGATTATTTATTGCCTATGTTTTTGTGGGTGTAGTTAACTTCCTTGGGTTGGAGTTTTCCTTCCAGAGCTTTTGGTAGGGCTGGATTAATGGATGTGTATTGTTTAAATCTGGCTTTGTAATAGAATATCTTGTTTTCTCCATCTAAAGTGATTGAAAGCTTTGATGGGTACAGTAATTTGGGCTGGCATCCGTGGTCTCTTAGTGTTGGTAGAATATCTGTCCAGGACCATCTGGCTTTCAGAGTTTCCTATGGAGAAGTCAGATGTAATTCTGATAGGTTTGCCTTTGTATGTACTTGGCCTTTTTCTTTTGCTGCTCTTAATATTCTTTAGTTTGTATGTTTGGTGTTTTCTTTATTTTGTGGTAAGGGGACTTTTTTGTGGTCCACTCTATTTCATGTTCTGTAAGTTTCTTGTGCTTTCTTTCTTTTTTCTTTTTCAAGACAGGGTTTCTCTGAGGCTTTGGAGGCTGTCCTGGGACTAACTCTTGTAGACCAGGCTGGTCTCGAACTCACAGAGATTCACCTGCCTCTGCCTCCTGAGTGCTGGTATTAAAGGCGTGTGCCACCACCACCACCTGGCGCTTCTTGTACTTTCATTGTCATGTCTTTGGGTTGAGAAAGTTTTCTTCTATGATTTTGTTGAATATGTTTTCTGCACCTTTGAGGTGATTTTCTTCACCTTTCTCTATATCTATTATTCTTAGGTTTCATCTTTTCATGGTGTCCCATATTTCTTGGATATTTTGTGTTAGGGATTTGTTGAACTTAAGATTTTCCTTGGTAAATGATTCTATTTCCCCCAGTGTATCTTCAATGCCTGAGATTCTTTCATCTCTTGCATTTTGTTGGTTATGCTTGCATTTGTAGTTCCTGATTGTTTACCCAGCTTTTCTATTTTCAGCATTCCCTCAGTTTGTGTTTTCTTTATTGTCTCTATTTCAGTTTTCAGGTCTTGAACAATTTTAATTGTTTCCTTCATCTGTTTGATTGTTTTTCCTTGACTTTTCATTAAGAGATTTGTTGATTTCTTGTATTTTTTTGGTTTGTGTTTTCTTCCATTTCTTATATCCTCTTTGAGGGCCTCTATCATTTTCTTGAAGTTGTTTTTAAGGTCGTTCTCTTCTGCTTCATCTGTGTTAGGACATTCAGGTCTTGCTGCTGTAGAGTCTGTAGACTCTGGTGGTATCATATTGGTTTTTCTGTTGTTGAATGTGTTTTTATATTGTCTTCTTCCCATCCCTTCTTCCTTGGGTGGAGTCTCTTCCTCTCCTGGTGGGTACTGGTCCAAGGTTTTTTTTCCAGTGGGTGCAAGCAGGTCCAATACTCCATGGCTCTCCTCTTCCTGTGGGTGGAGAAGGGACTGGTACTGGGATGTTGGCAGACTATGGATGGGCTGTTCTGCTTGGATGGGTTCCCCAGTGCTTAGTCCCCAGACCTCAGGAGGCTCCAGCAGGGAATCATAAGGCGGGCCAGAAGCTGTTTCATGCTTACCTCCTTCTCCTTCCATAGGTGGAAGCAGAGCTAGGACACCGGCAAGCTCTGGATGAGGTGGTCCACCTGGATGCGTTCTCCAGTACACAGTTTACAGGCCTCAGGAGGCTGCAGCAGGGCACTGGAAGCCAGCTGTTGAATTTTTAGGGTCACATATATACAATCATATAATCTACAAACAAAAATATTTTGGGTTCTTCCTTTCCAAATTATATCCCATTAATGTATTACAGTTGTTTTATTGGTCTAACTAGAACTTCAAGTACTTTATTGAGAGAGCTCACAACCTTGTCTTGTTCCAGATTTTAGTGGAATTACTTTGAGTTTCTCTACATTAAATTTGTTGTTGGCTATATGCTTGCTATAAATTTATTTTATTATGTTTGTGTGTATCTTATACCCCTAATCCCTCCAAGACATTTATGACATGAGATTTTTGTCAAAGGCCTTTTCAGCATCTAATGGGATGATACTGCTTGTTTGTTTGCTTGCGTGTTTTTCAGTTTATTTTTATGGTGGATTACTTTTATTGATGTTTGTATTGTATGTAGCTCATTCAATCAGTTTACATGATCTTTCTCATGTGTTCTTAGAATCTGTTTGCAAGTATTTTATTGTATATTTATGCAAATGTTCTTTATATTTAGCACAACTCTGGAAATATGTGCTGAATTAGGTTAATGATCTCAAGGTCATCAAACAGAGAAGCTGCGAACCATGGAATAACTGAAATTGGAATCCCCAAAGTTTGTTGACCTGGTTGCAATTTTCAGATTGTTAAGGGCCAATCCAGAACCCCAAATTTCTACTGTCCCCCTATCTCAGGTTTGATGTATCTGATGTAGCTGCATCTGTTCTAAGTTGTGTCTATGATCATTTAATAAGAGCCTTAATTTATGGGTAGCTGTGTAATTGTGGCATCATAAAATGAATTGAATAATGTTTCTTCTGTTTCTATTTCATGGAATAATTGGAGGAGTATTGATTTCAACTCTTCTTTGAATGTCTGGTAAAATTCTGTGCTAAAACCATCTGACTCTCAGCTTTTTTTTTTTTTTTGGTTGGGAGACTTGTAATGACTTGTTTTATTTTACTATATTTCCTATATTTATATTTCCTATATTTGGTATATTTCCATTTAAATTGTTTATGTGATGTTGATTGAACTTTGGTAAGTGGTACCTACCAAGAAAATTATCCATTGCTTTTAGAACTTCCAATTTGGTGGAATATAGGTTTTTAAAATATTTCCTTATGATTCTCCAGCTTTCCTCGTTGTATGTTTTTATGTCCCCCTTTGCATTTTTTATTTTATTAATTAGGATATTGTCTCTCTGTCTCTTAGTTTGGATAAGGGTTTGTCTGTCTTGTTTATTTTCTCAAAGAACCAAATCTGTGTTCCAGGCCGGGTGGTGGTGGCGCACGCCTTTAATCCCAGCACTCGGGAGGCAGAGGCAGGCGGATCTCTGTAAGTTCGAGGCCGGGCTGGGCCGATAGCCTCCAAAACAATACAGAGAAACCCTGTCTCGTAAAAACCAAAAAAAAAAAATCTGTGTTCCATTGATTCTTTGTATTTTTCTTTGTTTCTATTTTGTTACCATAGCCCTCAATTTGGTAATTTCTTCCTGTCTGCTCCTCTTGGGTATGCTTACTTCTTTTTGTTCTAGAGCTTTCATGTGTGATGTTAAGTTTCTAGTCTGAGATCTCTTCATACCCCCACATACTTTTTTAATGTAAGCTCTCAGTGCTATGAAGCTTCCTCATATCATGCATTTCCATTGAATTCTAGAAAGTCTTTAATTTCCATCTTTATTTCTGTCTTGACCCATTTTCCTCAGTAGAGAGTTGTTTGCTTTCCATGATTTTGTAAGCTTTCTTGTTTCTGGGTTTGTTTGTTTGTTGTTCTTGTTGTTCTTGATATCCAACTGTGATCCATGGTAATCTGATAGGATGCAGGGAGTTACTTCAGTTTTCTTGCATCTGTTGAGAATTGTATTGTGTCCAAGAATGTCATCAACTTTGGAAAAAATTCCATGTGGTGCTGAGAAGAAGTTGCATTCTCTTTTTAGGGTGGAATGTTCTGCAGTATTTGTTAGAATCATTTGGTTTATAAAGTCCATTGTCTATAATATTTCTCTGTTTACTTTTTATATGGATGATCTGTCCATTGTTGATTGTATGGTATTGAAGTCGACCACTATTAAACACTGTGTAAGAGTCAGTGTGTGATTTAATCTGTAGAAGTGTTTCTTTTACAAAAGCAGGAGACCTTGTATTGGGGCATAGATGCTTGTTTTTATTTTCTTGAATTTATTTAAGGAATTTCTTTTTAAGGGCCTCTGTTATGTCCATATAGTTTGTTTTAAGGTCTTCTTCTTGTATTTCAGCTATGTTAGAATATTCAGGGCTTGCTGTGGTAGGATAGCTGATCTCTTGTGGTAGCATACTGCCCTGGCTATTGTTGATTATGTTCTTATGCTTGGCATCTGGGTTTGGAGTGATTATGGGTCTAGGTGCTTTTTTCTGACTTCATCTTTGTTGGATGTGCATTTTGTTCCTGGGTTTCTGTTTGTTCTCTGGAGTTTCAGAGCATATATTGACTGAGAGTTGCCCCCTTTTCCTGGCCTTCTTGGCTGGTGTGTTTGAGGTAGAATGCTTGCTGTTGTTGGAAACTAAGGGAAGGGGAGGCCAGGAAGAGATGCACTTAGGCATCCACAGGAGGCATGGAGAGTGGTGAGGGGAAGCCTGGAGTCAGACATAGGGGAAAACGGTGAGAGATTAGAGAGAAGTAGAAGGAAGCCATAGCCACCTTTACCTCACTAGCTTCCCAGTGGAAAAGATAGCAGTTTCCTATTTCCTCCCACCTACATTCTTTTCTCCACCCAGCCATCTCACTTTCTGTTTGTCTTTACAGACCTACAGACCTCTATGGCTAGCTAGTGGCAAGCTCTTCAGATACATTTTATTTGTACAAAAAAAGATATCACCACACGGACCCACTTATATGCAAGACTAGCAAGAACTCTTAAATTATGAACCATCTCTCCTGCCCTGTGTTGATTATTTATGATCAACATTAACAGTGCTAACATTTTCATCTATCTGTAACTGTTTAAATGTGCAGTTCCTTTTAGTCAGATTTATTAAAGTTACAGCTTAAAAGGTAGCATTTCATGGTTTCTGGAAGATGAATACAGAACTGAAATGAGTGCATAACTCTTTGTAGGAACTTAAGTAGAAAACCTTTGAGTTCTTCCTATCTTTTTTGTTTGGTTGATTGATTGTTTCAGGGATTCTTAATATTCCCTTCTTGCTGTCCTGGAACTGATTACATATACTAGGCGTGCATTCAACTCAGAGGCAGATATACCTGCCTCTGCCTGCTGAGTGCTGGAATTAAAGATATGAGCCAGTACACCAGCTTCCTCATATTTCTCTATGTCTGTTAATAGACATTTATCTTCAAGGTGATATCCCATTCCAAGTGTTCAGATATGATAGAGATAAACCTCCTATTCAGTTTGTTTCTAAAGTGACTTGATGATTATATGATAATGTATGTGTCATAGAACCTCCTATTCAGTTTCCTTCTAAAGTGACTTGATGATTATATGAAAATGTCTGTGTCGTAGAATAAGTGTGGGAAGCACCAGAATCATATGACTATATTGTCAAAGAAGTATACATTTACAGTGTTGTCAGTATCATGCTTTTTATTGTATACATGTATGGCATATTTTAGGATGCAGTGACCTATAATGATGTGCATGTTTACTTCACTCGGGAAGAGTGGGCTTTGCTGGATCCTTCCCAGAAGAATCTCTACAAAGATGTGATGCTGGAGACCTATATGAACCTCACTGCTATAGGTAATGCTGTGAATTTTTCTTCATGTTTTAAAATAAGGGGATTGGTTATTGATGCTCTTTTGTAATTTTGATTCAGAAGAGGTGAATAAATCAGGGATGGTTCTAAGGTTCACTGAAGATAGTAACTTTATTTTTAATAATTTCCAATAATATATCATACATTTCCTGGTACTATATTTTTAGGCTACAGATGGGAAAACCATAATATTGAAGAACGTTGTCAAAGTTCTCGAAGACATGGAAGGTAATTTTCCTGTGGATGCTGATACAAATGTGCCTCTGAAGATATTTTAATGTATCTGGAAGTTGATTTTTTTTTAAGTAGCAGTGTAAATAAGCACATCTCAAAAGTCATTGATGATCATAAATTCTCTCAAAACCATATACCTCAATAGCAGGTAAGTTAATTGCATTTGGAAGTCATTCTTTTAAGAATGAAGGAATCAATGCCTTAACAGATATCACCATTTGAATCATTGCTCCTCAAAGCTATCTTGTAGAACTGCCAATCCATTTAGTTTCATACCTCTCATTTTAAAATAGGTATACATGTTGAATAGATAAGTATATGTCTAAAACCTTCTAGTAAGCAAATAATTCACAGTAAAGCTAGTGTTACTCATATAATTGTTCTGTCCTTGGTAAATTTAGTGAGGTAGTTAGTTTGAGTCAAGAATTAAGGGGGGCAGTTGTTGTGGAGAAACTTTTAATTCCTATACCGTAAGTCTGTGAGGAACAGAAAGTCAAACTGCGTGAATGCAATGTGGAAACCTTTTTTTGTTATTCTTCCTTTAATAGGTATATCGTATATCACTCTGGATACAAGCCATATAAGCTTAGGGATATGGAAAGAAGCAATGTATCTCTCTTCATCTCAGAACAATTAGAAGATATGTAGTAGTCCCCATGCTGAGTAGACTTGTTGAATGTGATTCAAGATTACAGGTGTTCCAGCTTCATTGGGAATACATCAACAAACTCACACTGCTGGAAAAGACCTATGAGTACTGGGAATGTGTAAATACTTCTGTTTGTATTGGTTCACTATGCAAATATAGTATAACTCACATTATAGGGAAATTTATCAATGGAAGAAGTTGGTGGCATTTCTCATAGAGAAATTGGATGCCATAAATGTGAGCCAGATAAGAAAGGCTCCTACCATCACAGGCTTCTTCAAATATGTAAAACAATCCTTAATGAGAGAGAATGGGTGTAAACAAAGTGATAAAAGCTTGAGATCTGATTATTCTTTATAATTGGACCAAATTATAAAATTAATTCATACAGATATATTCAACAGTGATAAGAATGTGGTAAAGCTTTTTCATGTGTCAATTATCCTTGCAGGCACAAAAGAAGTCATACTGGAGAGAAACCTTGTGAATATACTCAAGGTGTGAAAGCCTTTGCATATCAGAGCCGTCTTCAAAGTCATGAAAGATTTCATGCTGGAGAGAAATCCTATGAAGGTATTCAATATGGTGAAGCGTTTGCATGTCATAGTAGTCTGCGAATACATAAAGGAGCATGTACTGGAGAGAAGCCCTATGAATGTAATCAGTGCATTAAAGCTTTTACATTTCATAGTCATTTTCAAATGCATAAAAGAACACATACTGGAGAGAAACCTTATGAATGTATTCAATGTGGTAAAGCTTTTACATGTAATAGTCATATTCAAATGCATAAAAGGACACATACTGGGGAGAAATCCTATGAATGTAATCAATGTGGTAAAGCCTTGGCATCTCAAGGTAGTCTCCAAATACATAAAAGAACACATACTGGAGAGAAACCCTATGAATGTAATCAATGTGGTAAAGCTTTTGCTCGGCAAAGTTGTCTCCAAATACATAAAAGAACTCATACTGGGGAGAAACCCTATGAATGTAATCAATGTGGTAAAGCCTTTGCACATCAAAGTAATCTCCAAGTACATAAAAAAACACATACTAGAGACAAACCCTATGAATGTAATGAATGTGATAAAGCTTTTGTATGTCAAAGCAGTCTCCGAATACATAAAAGAACACATACTGGAGAGAAACCCTATGAATGTAATCAATGTGGTAAAGCATTTGCATGTCACAGTTATCTTCAAATGCATAAAAGAACACATAATGGGGAGAAACCCTATGAATGTAATCAATGTGGTAAAGCCTTTGTATGTCAAAGTGGTCTCCAAATACATAAAAGAACACACACTGGAGAGAAACCCTATGAATGTAATCAATGTGGTAAAGGTTTTACATGTCACAGTCAACTTCAAAATCATAAAAGAACACATACTGGAGAGAAACCTTATGAATGTATTCAATGTGGTAAAGCTTTTGCATGTCACAGTCATCTTCAAATGCATAAAAGAACACATACTGGAGAGAAACCCTATGAATGTAATCAGTGTGGCAAAGCATTTGCACAACACAATCATCTTCAAAGGCATAAAAGAATACATACTGGAGAGAAACCCTATGAATGTAATCAATGTGGTAAAGCCTTTGCATCTCAAAGTAATCTCCAAATACATAAAAGAACACATACTGGAGAGAAACCCTATGAATGTAATCAATGTGGCAAGGCTTTTGCACATCAGAGTCATTATCGAAGTCATGAAAGAATACATACTGGAGAGAAACCCTATGAATGTAATCAATGTGGTAAAGCCTTTGCACATCAGTGTCATTATCGAAGGCATGAAAGAACACATACTGGAGAGAAACCCTATGAATGTAATCAATGTGGTAAAGCCTTTGCACGCCAATGTAGTCTCCAAATACATAAACGAACACATACTGGAGAGAAACCCTACGAATGTAATCAATGTGGCAAGGCATTTGCATGTCAAAGTAGTCTCCAAATACATAAAAGAACCCATACTAGAGAGAAACCCTATGAATGTAATCAATGTGGTAAAGCCTTTTCACAACTCAGTAGTCTTAAAATACATAAAAGAACACATACTGGAGAGAAACCCTACATATGTAATCATTGTGATATACCCTTTGTGTCAGAAACCTTCAAAAACATAAAAAAATCATACTGTGGTGAAGCAATCTAAATGTAGTCACTGTAGCGATGTTTTGCAAGTCCTGGTAGTTTTGTACAAGAGCAAAACATTTTGTGTGTAATAGGCCTCTGAATATGACATTAGACTTTGAGTATCTGAAAAAACTCATACCAAAGGGAATCTGAAATAAATGATTTGGTGAGATCTTTAGCCAACATGCTTACATTCAGTTAGACAAGATTATTTATTCTGGAATAAATAATTCCAACAGTGTTCAAGCATTATGATGTCCGTCTCTATTTTGTTTACACCTGCAACTCACATGGACAAAAGGCCTAAATTTAAATAACATGGTAACCCTTTTGGATCTCATAGTTTTCTGCAATTACATGAGGA